AGAATTGTGGGATCCTGAGAGCCCTGTCTTAGGGTAAAATCCTTTTGCAACTTAAGATAGGGAATCACCTGCTTTCAAAATGATAACAACGTTTGCACAAAACTCCAGTGTTTGAAGTCTCCAAGTAGAACTGATCCTAGATGAGAAAGCAAAAACAGTGCTCCATCTTTTCCCTTTTCCTTCTTTAAGGTTTAAAATGTAGGAAATTAAAATTTTTGTCACAAATGTATATGTCTGAGACTATATATACATGACACATATTTGCATTTAAAGTTATTTAGCTGTTGCAAACCTTGGAGGACCGAGTTGCAGATGAATCCAATTTAAGATGGGAGGAGATTTTAAATTGAAATTTAAAAGTGGGATTTAAATTTTTAAATTTTGTACTATTTCTCTGGGGAAATCATTTTGTCCTATCTTCCTTAACGCTGTCAGAGGCACAGAAAGATGAAATGTCTGGTGCGTGCAACTTTGTGTGCATGTGTGTGTTAGGCTTGTGTGACATCATGATCCAAACTCAGTTAAGCACACAAAGAAAGCAAACAGGCTAAATGGTGAAGATCCTATGGTTCAGGAATGCTGGAGATATGTAATCTTTAGCACGTGTGATCTATGAGGATATTTTCCATAAAATAATTGCCAAATGGGTTTTTGATGAAATGTTCATCTAGATTTTCATATCATTGGAAATAAGTCAGTCCTTTCAGATTTTGGAATTAAATAAAAGATTTATGTTTCTTATAGGCATCCATGAGATGATTCATCAACATTTTTATCTTGGCAAAATTTTACAAAGATCAATGTCGCCAGAAAGCCTGTCTTCTGGCCCTCCACGACCTCATTCCAAAGCCAGAGTCTCACATTATCCCTGAATTCCACTTGACTGTTGTAATGAGCAGACATACTGCTATAATGAGCAAACATCTGATTTACCTTTCTGGCTCTTGTAGATGCTTTTTTGATTGAAATTCAATCCGGCTTCACTTACTTTTCCTTTCTTTCTTTACTGCTTTCAGCTTACACACAAATAAATATCTCTTCTTTCCTAGAGTTATCCACAGGAAGTGAGTACTTCTAAATTACCAAATCAAATGTCTTGGTGGGTAGAGAATTATGTTTTTGCAGACTCTTGATGATTAAGCCTTCTGAGAATGCCAATGGGCATCACAAGATTTTGTTTTTGATATTAAAGTAGGCTCAAGTTTAGGCAAATGTGAGCTCTATAGCAGAGAGACACACCCTGCCGAGTATAAGGCTAAGTTAACCACCTGATGTATGGAGGAAGTGGTCAAGCTGTTAGGCACATGGGCTCTGCGACCTAACTGTGTGAGTTCAGCTCCTGTTCCCATCATCCCTAAAATGTATGATCTTGTGCAAGTTATTCAATTTTTCTGTGTCTCCTTGAAATGAATTCTAACACAGCCTAGTTCAGAGGGTTAATGTTGAAGATTATATGTAAAAGACACTTAGAACAATGCCTTAAATGCAAGAAATTCTCAATAAGTATGAGTCATTGTGTTGTAATAAGTATTGAAAAGTTCATATAATGTTAACACAGAAATAAGAAGCAATTAGATTTTAAAGGAGTAAGCATCAATAATTGTTTGGGTACTAGTAAATGCCATTAATGCCCATTTAAGGGAATAGCTATTCATTTATCTGACTCCAAATTAAAATGAGAAAGTTACTTTCTGTACAATGCTGCTATTTGTTTCTTAAAATTATTACAAATGTTATAGAATGTATAACAAACACAACACAGCTTGAAAATATAATACCCCTTTTAAAAAACAAAACCTAGATTTTAGTTATGAACAGCAATCATTACATTACTACCTTGAGATGTTTGCTGAGAGGGAAGCACAATTATATAATCAAACATAATGAATGCATATTCATTTCTTTATACTGCAACTTATTCCAGAAAGGAATAGAGGCTGCTATAATGAGTGAATCATAGGGAAACATAAAGATAAAGACATCTCATGTAGTAGGCTAATGCTCGATGCAAATAGAATACATTGTAAAAAATGTTGCAAAGAAATACAAATAAGAAGAATATAAATGCTCTTTCTGCATTTTTATTTCTGGAACATGTCCTTTATTGAAATATCAAGAGCTTTTTTGTTCTCATTCTTTCCCATTCATTATTCTCCATAAGTCAATCAGTAGCCATGACTTTCACCTTTGTAGTGTTTCTTGGAGCCACACTTTTGGGTTTCTACTACCAATACCATAGTTCATATAATAGTTTCCTGTTCATTTCTTTGCTCTACACCTCTCCTCTTCCCATTCTCCTCCCTTACCCATCTATCACCACAATTCAGCCAAAACAGGCTACTGAATTTTTCTAAAGTACATCTCCAGCCTTCTTATTTTCCTGATAGAAACATTCTGTAGCTCCTTTTTGCTTTCTAGTCTTGATACGTTTTTATCTGTTCCTATTTCATGTCAATCTTTTATATCTCTTATTTCAATAAACTTTGTATTCATCTGAGCTTCTGTATGAGAATGCATGCTCCTTGTTTTTTTCCCCATTGTATGTAGCATTTTAGGGAAAAGAAACGGTAAATAAACCTTAGAAGAACGTATTACACTATTATCTTGATATATACATTTCTAACTCTTGCAAATGGGTCTTCATGACATAATTTGATCAGGACAAAGAAAGATATAAATCACCAAATTAGGAAAATGTAACTAATTCGAGACCTTGATTATAGATTTGCAAGATAACCAGCCTTTAAACTGAAAAGAATACATTTTTGTCTCGTTACCTTCCTTATCATGTCCTAATAAGATAATGAAGCCAGGTGTAGTGATACACACCTGTAATTCCAGCACTCTGGGAGGCTGAGGCAAGAGGATCCAAGTTCAAGCCTAATCTGGATAACTTAGTGAGACTCTGTCTTCAAATTTAAATATATCCATACATCCATACATCCATACACACGTACAGGCTCAGGATGTTACTCACTGTAAAGACTCTGGATTTGATCCCTAGTACTGAAAAAAATTAGTCAAAAGTTAAGAAAAGCCAGTAGAATGGGGGAAAAGGTATTGTGACACTAGTGATAAACTGGAATGTCCTTATGTGCAAAGCAGTAAGTTGGATATCTTTGAGAAAATGTATAAATACACGATCATTGAAAGAGTAATTCATTTGTGCATTTATGATTGATTTTACAGACAGTATTCTTAGCAATGTGCATTCAAACATTGTGTGACCCATGAGTACAATTATGTGAAGATGCATTTTTAACTTGTGTACAATTTGCATTGTAATATGTTCAATCTCAGAAGAAAATTCATCCAGAGATTTCATCAGATGCTATAAAAAGAAAAATAAGCAATCATTTTAATAACAATGCAGGTACAGCAAAGATACCCGTCTCTTAGTATCTATAATCATTGCAATGATTAAGGTTTGTTTCTTTACATACAATGGTAATATCCATAGCTACTCTTAGGGATTATAATTGTTGTTGTGCAAACCTCTAAAAAATGCTTATTTTTGTAGTATCCTAAAAGCTTACTGAATTGAATTTGAATGAAAGACAGAAGCTTTATTATTCATTCAAATTTTAACATATGCTTGTTCCTTTTGGGGGGGTACTGGGGATTGAACTCACAGCCTTTATACTGAGGTACATCCTCCACACTTTTTAAAAATGTTGAGACCAGGGCTCACTAAATTGCTACGCTGCCCAGGCGGGAGTCAAATTTATGATCCTGCTACCTCAGCCTCCCAGAGTTTTTGCTGAGATTACAGGTATGTGCTACCATACCCAGCCTACAAGGTATTTTAAAGCCAAAACCCATTTTCTCCTTGAGGATGAATTAGATTTAATGACTTACATCCAAAGAAGAGAAGAAAAGAGCAGGGCAAGGTGCAAATAGTAAGATTACATTGGAGACATTGGGCAAATACCATCTTAGCCAAGCAATGAATGCTAACATTACAGTGAATACTATGTGCACGGCTAATGAGAAGGACACTTCGCTTTTGTGCTATTCTTTCAAAGAATTCATAACAAAAGCATAATCATGAGACACACCAGACAACCGCACGCTGAGGGACGCTTTACAAAACACCTGGGTAACACTCTTCAGAATTATCAACATCATGAAAAGTGAGAAAGACTGAGAAATAGTAACAACCAGAAACTAGGGAGGCACAGACACTAAACGCAATGTGACACCTTAGACTGGATCCTGAATCAGAAAGGGGACATTGATAGAAAAGCTGGTGAAATCCAAATAAAGTCTGGAGTTTAGTTTACAGTAGTGTGCCAATATTACTTAATTTTAATCATAAATGTGTCATGGTAATGTAGGGTGTTAAGAAAAGAGGAAATATGGTAAGGATATAGAATTCTGTGTAGCATCTTTGCAACTTTTCTGTAAGTCTGAACTTATTACAAAAGTTTACTTTAAAAATACCCTACTTTGCCCGGCAAGAGCAAGGTCCTGAGTTTGATCCCAAGTACTGGAAAAAAGAAAAGAAAACAAAACCTACTTTTTCTGCTTTTGACATAGAGCAGCTACATTCCCCACTGTATGCCATTCCCATCTAAAGCTATATTATTATTCCATCAGGACTTGGTTGACCATTGTGTTGAGTAAAATGTACAAGAAAATGTATAGGAGAAAGCTGTTTAAAGAAAGAACACAGCAAATCTTAAAGATAATAAAAATCTTTGAAAACAATGTGATATTAAAACATTTTTAACAAATGTATCTTCTTACAAACAACCACAAAAGAGCCAAGGTAATAAAAATTTGCCTTCATTGTACTGTGATCCTATTAAAATACAAGTAATCTCCACAGGTCTGCCTTTCTCAGGAAATGCCCTGTCCTTCTGTAATCTATGTTACAGCATAGAGTTCTAAGCTATTATTACCCTTTGGGGAGAGCTGTGCTTTATTGGATTGTGTGCAACAAGGTTGCGGCCTACATGCACCCCCTGAAAGAATATCTAAGTATTCCAAGTTCTAAAAAAAAATTAAAATGTAGAATTTGGCTGCTGACTTCCTTAAATGTGAACAAAGGTAGATACCATTTCCAAACCTTGTAAATTATAATCCTACAATTAAATGCAGGTGGAATATGCCATGACTTTCTCTACCCCACCTTTGTCCCCTTGGTGACAGATTGTCTTTGGTGAATATTTATGGTGACCATGCTTACCTAGTCTTAAATATTTACAGTGCAATTGTATTACCAATTTGGGGGGCTAGTTCATATTCTCAATGTACAGTTTCTTGATTAATCTCAATAACCTTATAAGCAATTTTTGCTCATCATTATTCATTTGATTTCCACCACTACTCGTAATAGATTTTAATCATTGTGATACCATTGCAGACACTAATATCATTGGTTCACCTGTATGTTCCTTCCAAAGGGATAATTTTAGGAACTACTGCGTTTTCTGCCTGTGCCTCTAGATAAATGCCTTTGTATTAAGTCTGTTATTCATAGACTCATTCATCACTGTTCTGGGAAGATTATAGATTTCCCTTGTAATTTGGAAACTCTGCGTTCTGGTAGAGTTTGCTATTAACTGAAAGGCTGCATAGTCAACCTTATTTTCCTGTGGATTTCAGAAACAAATGTTATATGATTTTCAGCATAGCGGTACAGCGAAGGAACAAAGTCTATCTTTGGGACAGGAAGAACACTGGCGAAGAAGAACAGAACGTCAGCAGGATTCAGTGGAACATGGGCTCCTGGTGAGGGGACAGTGCAGGAAAAAAGGTGACTGTCTCTTGCTGTCCCCAAGCTTTCTTCCTCCACCCTCAATTAGAACAGAACTTTGGTGGGAGGGAGTAGTATGAGGAGGGAGAAGCTCACCTGCTTCCTGCATTTTCTTTCCTCCCTCCCCATCTCCTGGACTTCTAGCAAAACTACATTAGAAGGTTGGCCTCCAAGACTTGAACCCTGGCATTGCTGGATGTCCTCTCTAGAGTGGATTCTAGAACATCTGCTGTACTTAGCACAGAGAACTGCAGCGTTTGCATTGTTACAGGGTAGGAGGAAAGAACTTTACATACGCTAATGTTCCAGTTATCGAAATGCCAATTAGCGATCTCCAATAAGAAGTGTATGATCTTCCTTGCATCAAAAAAATGTTTGTCACTTAAAAAGAAGCTTTCCACATAATTTTCCTTACACGAAAAACATTTACGCTTCTAAGAGAGCAGTTTTGCTTCACCATGAAGTTAGTATCCCTTGATCTGTATTTGACTTAAGGCCTAGATATTCAGTTTTCATATTCTTTCAGTCATCTTCTGCTGTTTTGTGAGTAGCTTTGCACATATTTGTGCTGCCTTCTTCTGCCCTGGCTAAGCATTGCCAAGGAAGATCACTGGAATGAAAGTATTGAGGATGGATGACTTCTTACTCACTGATGTTTGTATCTCTGAAGCCTAGCACAGTGTTCAACACATAAAATGTGTTTTAGTCCTATTATTTTACATATCCAGAAAATTTTTCTTATGTCTTCTTTCTTCAGATGTGTGTCACCACGTTATGCACCAGAACACAGAGCTCCCACTGGGCAGGAATCGTATAGGTTTGCGAGTACCGTTAACAGTAGGTTCTGGGGAGTTGTAAGCAAACTTACCAAGTTTCTTTCCGGCTGGCTTGACAAGAGTTCCTGCAAATGACCTGCTTCTACACCAAATATCTATTACCTCTTGGTATCTGTTACTCACTGACCTGTTTTTCTGGGGGCCACTTCTTTTCTAACTTCTCATGTTGTTGAGGTGTTTAGTTGCTTCTATTTCTGACCTCATTTCCAGAAAAGTAGAACACCTTAGAAAACCTATATCAGGTTTTAGAGAATTGAGAGAAATGGGAGCGGTGGATAAATACTAATTCTCATAAAGGGATTCAACATAAGAGGACTTGGTCCCATTGAGAATCAACCAACCAGAATTGTACATCGACCACTAGGCCAGGTATACTATTCACTTTAAGAAGAAACTGTGGAAGTACAAATAAGCTGGTTAGAATCATAGGACTGATTAGTTACAACCTTCTCTATAAACTGAATTCCTATACGTTAACAGCGCAGATCTTCTCAGTGTTGACATCTGTGCTTCATGGTGTGGAGAGAGTCCCCCTTCCTACGGAGCCATCCATCTCCAGGTCCACACGGAATGTGTCCAGGATCCCTGCACCCCGCTTCTCCATTTTTCTGTTTGGTCTGCAACAAACACTGCTTTGTGGGAGGGTCTCCTTGGCCTTACGTTTCCAGGCCAGCCTCCCAGTGCTCTTGGATGGATGGACATGGCTCCTTTTCCAAATCCTGTCGACTCACTGGGCTGAGAGAATGAGGCCAGCATACTTGCTTCCTATCTCCTCTTTTCTAGACCACTCTTCATCCAACTTGTGCCCCCAAGTTTCCATTTATGGTCATGTCAAGCTCAGTATTTCAGATGCACAGAAGCAACTCCTTTTGCCACTCTTTCTTGTCCCTTCCCACTGCTGCCCCAAACACTTCTAGCTCTGTAGCCAAACTATTTTCAGATTTTCCAACTAGTCACTTTGAAGCCAGTTTCTCCTTCCTTCACTTCCCTGTCCACTGCACTGCTGCTTATTTAATCTAAAAAGTCAATTCTAATCTAGCTTTTTTGGACAAATGTAAACAGTTTACTTAGAAACAGGTACCCATTTTCATTACAGAATATAAAACTTGGTTTAAACTCTATAAAAAATAATCAATATCCAAATTCAAGAGAACGAGCACTCATAGAACACTATAGTTCACTCATCTCAGGCTTGATTTAAACCAAGAATAAGGAAGAACACCAAGAAACCCCAGGGGTCCACAGAGATGAGCATAGAATGCTTGCGGCCAAGTCCCCCACCTCCAGAAGCTGCCGTCCTAGCAGACTACAGTTTTCTAAGTTGTGATTTTTCAGATCCAGCCTGGGGATCTCTGCATGTAGTGAGCAGCAAGGTTGTCCTGCCACACAGTTCATGATGTGCCCTCTGTAAGCCAGGTCAGTGGTGTTATTAATTATCTCTGGTCTTCCCAACAGTAAAAAGGGGAAAACTGTGAGGGTGGAGAAGGTTGATGACTCTTTGATGGGGTTAAACCCACACCGAGCAGCCCAAGTCACAGGACTGTGGAAGACCAGAGGATACACCTAGGTTCAGAAATAATCACCACTCAGCATCACCCGAATGTATGATCCAGAGATACGGGCAGTATCAAAGGTTATATACACATTTATTTTAGTAACCTGAGGGCTAAAAACCTGGAACACAATAATTCTTCTCAAAAGAGGCTCATTGATAAGAAAGGGCCAGAATGGACAGGGTTTGTGACATAAAATATGGTTAAATGGAGTTGGAAACAGAGGGCGGTTTCTTTAGCTCCTTCTCCAAGGTCCAACATTTTGCTAGGGAGTAGCCAACTGTTGATCTGTGATACACTTAATTCTAATCTAGTTTTTAAAAAAGATTTCCTTGCTTATTGAACAAAGCCCAGACTCCTTAGTCTGGCATCCAGTTCCCTGTATGGTTTCAACTTTGAACTTCAGCGTTATCTTTCAGTGTCCTCCTCTTCAGCAAGCCTACTCAATGTACTTTCCTGCCCCACAGGATCTTCTGCTCTTGAAAATTGTAGTAATAGTTGCAGTTTTTTAGCACTATGCCCCAAGTGTCGCATTAAGCACTTCGCACTGAATTAACTAAAAAAATAGTGTAAGATAGGAACTATTATCCCATTTTAACATATAAAAAAATTATTACAGGGATTTCGTAAATAACATAGCTAAAGAATGGCGGATCTGGATTCGAACCCCATCCATCCATCTCCAATGCTTATGCTCCTTCCTCCATTTGAAATGTCCTCCTACTCTTTACTTACCAAAGTATTCCCATTCCCCCCAAAACCAGCTCAGACTAACCTTCTCTCATGCAACTATTTTTCATCCCTCTGACCAAAGGAATCATCTCTCCTCTTCATCTGCACAGTACTGTGGATACTTCGCTTAGTCTTCACAAATGCCAAACTGACAGTAGGCTGTGCTTGCAGCACTACTGGTGCTTGTCTACTACATGTTCTTCATTGCTTATTGTGATCCTTTGAATATAGTAGGCATTTAGTACGTGAATATTGCACTGATTCAATACCTACTTATCTGTCTACGCAGCTGTTTATTGTCTATTCATTGGGCTGTTTGTGCGGAAGAAAGTGCCAGAAAGCTTTCCCAGACCATCTTTCTCAAAATACGGTAGCCACATGGACCTGAAACTCTTTTTAATAGTTGTTTTTTGCATAAAAAGTGCATGCTGTATACTCAAGACATTTTTTATTCAACTAAAAGAATCAACTGTTTATTGATTTCTCTACATATAATCAGAGGGTGCATGTCAACAGTTGCTTTTTTTTTAAGCCCTGCTTCTTGTGGAATCTGAAGCGAAGACAGCTTGTTTCTCCCTCACCAGCACTGGGGGAAAAGCAGGCATGAGGAACGAGACGCAAAAGTGACAGAAAGTGGCAGAATCAGGATTTAAACCTAGGTGTATTTGACGCAAATGCCACAGTTATTTACCAATGTGCTACACGGTATTCCAAATCGATGGCCTAGCCATTTTGTTGCCCGAAACACAGTCATGTTTTGACAATACATTCTGGTCACTGAGATTAGATTTGTGTTTTCCCAACAAATTAGCTTCTTACTGGTAATTTAAGATGGGGATACTTTGTTCTCTTCATTTTGGTTTCAATGTAGAAAAAGTGCCCTACAATTTGCACCAGGGTATCTCCTGTGTTTTAGGTTCTATCTCTGTTGAGAATAAACAAAAATAGTTGATGCTTTTATGTATCTCTTTTCCTAACACATTAGGGAAGGCAACTACAGCTTGGAGTTCCCAAGCTTAAAGTGTTGCTGCCATCACTCTTCTATCTCCTCTCATCTATTCATATGAAATCAAAGCACAACTTAAAAAATGAAGAATACAATTGCTTTCATGTTTTGCTTTTGCACTGCATTTTCTGAACCAGGATGATCCAGTTTGCAATACAGCACATATGGGAGAAAAAGGTAAATTCAAATTTTTCTGATAAGACATAATTAAAATAGACCTTACAGGAGATCAGTGCTTTTCCAACAGAACACAACTTTCGTCAGAAGGTGCACGTTGTTCTTCATACAATGGTCCTTTTTCATTCCTGCTCCTTTTCTCACCATTTTCTCTTCTCACTTTTATTCCCAGCATGTTGAACTTCTTACAAGTCTTTGCAAAGATGTTTTTTTGCACATGTGCAGCTCTGCCCATGTGGATCTCTCCTCTTTACCTTACCTACCTAACCCCTGTTAGTTCTTGAAGCCTAACCTTATATTGCGCCTCCTGCTCGTCTCCCTAACTCCTCCAACATCAAGACCATTCTATGTTTATCCTGCTCATTTCCCTCTGGTAGCTTTGCAATTGCCTATTAACTCTCCTGTCTCCCCAGTTAGCTTAGAAACTCCCTGAGGACAGGAACTGTCTCTTGCCCATTGTCCATTGTTACCAAGGCTGATATTTGGAACATGTTAGGTGCCTGTTACACTTTTTACTGGATTAATCAATAAACAGATAAAAGAACTAACTCTTCTAAGACCCAAGAGTCACTCTAGACGGGCAGCTTCGTATATTTTAGGCCTTAATATTTACTGACAGATTTGAAAGATTGAATTATAGGGGGTTTGCTGAACCCACATTATTAAAATATTTGAACAACTGCCAGATTTCTTATCGTTATGTGTATTTTACAGATGGATATTTTACTTGCACAGAAATTATTCTTATGGGAAATAATGTAGACATTTCTAGTGAGTACACCATGAAAAAGTGATGGATCAGCCTAAATTAATCTTAGAAACTAAATATAACTGAGTGGAAAAGAAATAATGCTTACTGTTATTAAGAGGGAAAGCACGCACCATTTTTTTTCTGTAATCAATTGCAAATTTGCACTTGAT